AATTACACTCAAGGGAGGGTATCCAACCCTTCACCAAAACGCACAATCTTTCTATCAGAAATGATATAGATCAATCTGAAACAACAACAAATAGGAAGGTCAGATCACATCTCGTCCGGAAACAACATATAAACTGTCACTTTATGTTTTTTACTGTTTTTGGTCTTTTTTGGATTTTTTACTGTTTTTTGTACTTTTTTGTTTTCAAATAAATTTATTTTTTGGCTTTTTCTTGGTTATACACTGTTTTTGTTTGGTTTTACGCTTTCTCTTTAATTGTTTTTGGTCCCGGGACCTTGGGACAAGCGGGCTCATGACTTCCCACCTAACCCTCCGGCCCCCGGAATTTTCGGTGTTAACTAAGTTAAAAAGCTAAATAGTACTAGACGGAGGGTACGCACCTTCCCCCTAGTACAATAACGGTCATTAAGGCCTCTAACTTGGGCATACGCCCGGAGCGGAGGGTTCGTCGCTGAAACGCTTGCTGATCATGATGGTCTTATGCCTTTGACAGGCCCACCCAAGAGCGCCATAAAAAAGTCTATTTAACATTCGCCCAAATACTACACAGCGACGGAGCGTAGAAAAAGTACCTATTAACGACTGGCAGGCGTCAGTTACCTTAATCCTACTCGTTTTTGACCGTCTCAACCTTGCCAGTTGATTTTCTGGTCTGTTTAGGGCTAAGTAAAAAGTTGATGTTTTTAGGCCATCAGTCAAACGACTTTTGATCAGCTTTCGTTTACATGCGAACACAACCACATAGCTGATTCTCGGATCCTCAGACGGCTCGAACAACACGGCTCGAACAACCTATTAAAAACACGGCTCGAACAACCTATTTTAACATGTTTTTGTGTGACAGTTCTATATTAAATCCATTGGAGATGGATTGACCCTTTCCTCTTTCTAGCTACTCATATTCTAAAATATCAAATAATACCGGTGTTATTTCAGACTTCTACGACATCCAAGTAGCTACAAAGTTAGTTTTATATAGTCCCTTCACATAAAACAGTCTCTGGGGGACCAAGCCTCCGCTCCCGTAATCTTCCTGAGATAACGTTCTTATCTCTCCCAATTTGTGGCACGGGAGGGTTCCGTGGAATATTCAATATTCCTTCCCCACTGAAGCTTCCTTCTCCACCAATTTCCACTGCTAATAGTCTTATCGTGTGTTGTTGCCACGATAAGAGGCTTCGTGTTTTTCGTCTCTTGTGCGACCGTTTTCACAATATTTGTCGTGGTTCTGTTTTTTCGTCCTTTTTCGTCAAAATGGCCGTCTTTTTTTCTATTTCTCAGAAATATTCACTCTTCAATCGAAATTTTAAAAATAAAAATTCTAGAATATTCCTACCCTCCTTCGCAATACTTTTTCGTTCCTAAGGCCTTTATTCGTTTTTTTTTCGTGTCGCCGGAAGGTTGCGCTGTGCCATCTGGCAGAATGGCACAAAGGCTTCTTTCCTTCTAAAAGCGATCAGTTGTTCTTCTTGATTACAGTCGCTCTCCCAGTTGTTGTCGTGTTATTCTGACACGCAAAAAAAATAATTGTTCTGTTTTTCGCGTTTTTCAGTTGCCGCGAAAACCAGATTTTTTTCGTCAACCACTCCAAAAATCGGAACTTTTTTCCTTCAAAGTTTCCACCCTAAAGATTAGATTTTTTTCAGATAACATCAGTAATTGCTGAATTCATCTGATCGCTTGCTCATGTTTTCTTCAAATAAAAAAAGACCGCATTCTGGTTGAATGGAAGATACTGAGTCTACCTTCGAAAAAAATTTTCATATAAGACTAGTTTTTTTGTCGGTTCCTATGAGAGCGACCAATTCTTGGTTTCACTTGATATGAGAGCGACCAATTTTTCTCGGTTTCACTTGAAATCGATTTAAACTGCTGGAAGTTTAAATGTTCTCATATGCCTAAGTTTGTGTCAAAAAATTCATAATTTCCAGGAAGTTTTCTGCTATTTTGATTTGCTGTCTTTTGGAATTTGTTTCTGGTTGGTGGCAAGTTAATTGTGGCAAATGTTTGAAACTTTTGCAGTTGTTCTATTTTTTTCTTTCATCTTTGGATCAACATCGAGATCTTTCCTGGCAATTAAACTGTTAAATGACTGTTCCTCCTGTCTAGGAATATGTAATAAAGACTCCTCGCCGTAACCACTGTTAAATAAGATACTTTTGACTCTTGCAACAAATTTTTCTTATACCTTTGGCAATTAAAGGTTTTTTCTTTAATATACTAAATGACTTTTTCTAATTATTTTTGTAAGATTTGAAAAGTTTTATCATATATTCAGCTAGGCTGCAGAATGAAACGAGGTTACTCCTAAAGGAAATTTTTCAGCCGAGGAAACTTTACAGCCGAATAAAATTAGTAGAATTTTTGCCCTGTAAGAGGGCGGCAAATGATGAGGCAGTCTGTGTTTGGATTGTGGGATTTCTTTTTCTGCCATACGATATTGTATAAGCTTGCGGTTAGCAGGCGTTATCAAACTGGAATATAGTCTTGTTTTTTTTTGTTAACAACACTTGAAACTGCAACTGAAAATTGAAAAGTGGTTATAGGTGCACAAAATGCAACCAAACATCGCAAAATCAACGCTTTTAAGCATCAAAGGTGATCTAAAAGCAACCCTACCCAATAAAAAACGGGCCTCAGTAAACTCAAGCGTGACTTGGGACTCAATGTACTTAGCAGGCTCACATGGAACGAAAATTGCACTCGTTCGACATATGAAGCCTTTAGTGCAATTTTTTCGGTACTAGTATGATAGAGTGGTCCCTCGAAAAAGCAACTATGATAAACAGGTCCCGCATGCATTTCGCATGTTATAAGTTTGAAAACTAATTTGTGTATAATGTATGCAAAATATGTTCAGCCAGAAACTTTTCAGATTGGAAATTGTAACCACTATTGTTTATATATTGAAATTTGCTCGCTTTACTTTATTTTAGGGTTTAACAACCATATAATTGGGTTGACTTATTTGTCATCAAAACTCACTATTGGCGTTTTTTTTTGACATTTCAACCCTAAAATGGTAAGGGGGAGATTTTAAGAGGTAACAAAACATGAAATTTGTTTGAAAATATACTACGACATCTTTCTGAATGGCGTAATCATAATTATTAAACGATTTAAGGAGCTCTTGGTGTCAAGGGACCTGGTTATTTTCAAGTGACCACTCTATCATAGCAGTACCATTTTTGCAAATCATACGCAGGCCTGTTGCCACCAAACTAAACGCTTAGTGGTTTTGTAGTACCCATAATAACCGGGTGCCGGACATCAAGCCGACGAGACTTCAAGCTGAATTTTAAAATTAGGGACTTCAAGCCGAATAGTTTTTATAAAGTCGTGAAATATGATTAATTTGAAGATTTTGAAGATTTTCTGAAATTCATGATCTTTCTTTACTAGTTATCGGCGTTTTCATAAAATTTAAGCCTTTAAAGGATGTTTGGGAAAGTTGGAAAGTAAAACATGGTTGAAGGCATTTTTCATGCTTATAATTTATGAATTTCAAAAACCGGCTGATGTTATTAACGGATGCCAATCACAAATGGTGCATTGTCATGAAAAACGCTTATTATGGAGTAAACTTGCCAAAAAACTTGGAAAAGCAACGTTTTACAGATGATAAAATTGTGTTTTGAGGTGCCTGTAAAGTTTAAATTTCGGCTTCAAGTCCCTTCAGCTTGTTGTCCTAGACCCATAATAACCTACGCAACCTAAGCATGGGCCCCTAGCAGATCGAATATGGAACAATTCGAAAGAGTTCAAAAACTGAAACAGTTTCGGTGAGTGAAATATCTCTACGACTCTCTAATTAGCGCCTGCCCAACGTTCAGTCTTAGACCGAACAAAGCAACTTTGACCAACTTATCACAGAACTTTTTCAAGAAAATGTACAACCAAGTCAACAAATGCACATGGAAACTTGTGCAGATGTGGACATGGAAGTATATACAACAAACAGATAAGTTTAGGACTGAAAAGGAGGAAATTCGTGAGACCAATCGCTCTGAAGCCTATTCTTATTACTACTTCTGCTAGTTTAAAGAAATCATTTGCTGTCTATGCAGCTTACTTCTTTTCACTTTTTTCTCTTAACATCTTTTTGGTTGCTCCCCTTCGACCTGGAAGTAAATCAATTGCCTTTTAACCCGTAAGTTTTGCGTTCGAGTCGTGGCCGGCCTTGTTTTCTCAGTATCGAAGAAATCGAGAAAAATGTATTGTTTGTTTTTCGTTTGTTCGCTGAAATTACAACGGTTTCTGCTTGTGATGTAGAAAAATTTCTCGTTGTTGCAAGTGTTTTTTAGTTTAGTTTCAGGGGGCTTGAAAGATTTTTAATTTTTTCATAAAACCTTTTTCGGTTCAGTTGGTGCCTGCTCGAAGATTGTCGGCTTAGTTGCCGCATCACTGAATTTTTTGCTGTAAGCAACTATCAATTTACATGCAAGTGCCAGTGCTGTGAAATTTCGTTTTTTTTTGTTTCTTCGAATATTTTTTTCGGTTCACGTGGTGTCAGCTTAAAGGCTTAGTTGCCACATCAATGATTTTTTTTGTGCTGTAAACAACTCTTATTGTAGATGCAAGTGTTGTCCATTGTTGTTTAAGGTGAGACTTCACTTTTTCTTATAAACTCATATTTTTTTTCGGCTCAACTTGCGTGTGTTGAAAGGTTGTTGGCTTTGTTTCTTTTGGTACATTTTGTTCCGTTGTTGCTGTTTCAAAATTCAATTGTCTGGCATGTTTGCCTGGATTGAACTTCTATCGGGACTTAGATTGAAATTTTATATGACCTAGTTTTTTTCAAATGTTTTCATTTTTTCGTCTTTTAATGTTTGTGTTGTATCGCAAGTGGTGTGAGTTAGCGAGTGAGTTAAAGTAACAATTTCATCCTTAAAACGTTGTACTGCTCTACATAAAACGGTTGTCAATGTATATTTAAAAATTTTCAACAGGCATTTGAAAATATTACATTCGTCTGAAAATTACAACCGAAAGTAACGCATGAGCCCGGCATAGCCATTTGCTCCCCAATTTCCTGTAACCAAGCTATATCCATTGTGCACTGATACTGTTCGAGATGGATAGTAATGTTGAACCGTGAACGGACGATTTTCGCCAGTGTATATTGTCTGAGCTAAGTTGTAAACTGAAGCTCTGGCATCTCCGTGATGACATTCTCCTCCTTGTTGCGATTCTGGTGCGGTTTGTTGCTCCAATCCGTCCTGGAAAATACCGGCAGGCATAGGAGCCGCTTGATTGTTAATTCTATGAGTTTCAATTTTTTCTTCCATTTCGTCTAAGCGTTTCTGAATTGACTCCAGTTGTTGCTTAATAGTGTTCGTATCTTCTTCGCTCTGTTGCCTTGATTTGAAACGTCTCTTGTCTTTGTAATATCTTGTTCGTCCTCTCGGAGAGCCGTGAGACGAGGAAAGATGCCTTTCTCGATACTCTTCATAGTTGTCATTTCTTCGCGGACTGCGGTATCTAATGCAAATCAAAAAAGCGTGGCATCATTAAAGAGAATTGCTTATGTTACTTAATGTTTGAACATGATTTTTCTACCTTCGGTAATCTCTGTCGTATCTACTTGTTGGACTGAGAAGTCGACCATATCTATCGCGCCGATTTCTGCGGACGAGTGGAGAAAGGCTCCGCTGTCTTCTATCTCTTCTTGTAGGACTTGATGTAGACTTCTTTTTTAGATCTGATGATAATCGATCCGTCCCTGAAACAACCATTTTTTCCCTGAAACAACCCTTGTTTCAACCATTTGTTTTTTTTTTGCCACAACGACTAACGGGTTCTAGAACTAGTCCGTTTGTCAGCTTTTGATGATTTACTGACTGATGGACTTGTCATCGTAGTCTGGTGGGCGGTAGGTCGACGGTTGTCAGTCCCGCTTCGCGTCGCATGCTTATTAGGGTAATGTGAGCTGCTAGTTGTAAGGTTGGTCTTAGATGATCGTGCATAGTTTGCACTTGGCCTTAAATTATGCACAGATTATTTTATAAACGAAGATATATTATCGTCGATTTTTAGAAAAACTTTAACATACAAGCTTTTAAGTTCGGGATCAAGCTTTTGCTTCTCAGATTGCCTATCTTGCTCAATCAGATCTACTTCTCTTTCGGACTGAACTGTCTGTGGTGTACTTGTTCTAAAGTTTTGGTCCTCTTTCTCTTGGACTCCTACGAATTCCTGTGGCGTTGAGTCTTCTTCGTAATCGGGAAGCTCTGGAGGCTCTCGCTTAGAATTTACGGTTTCTTCCGCTGGTACTGGATCGTGATTTTCGTCTGGAGTTGCCGGATCTTCTTGCTGAGCTGGATTTTCTTTCTCTTCTGCAGCATCAGCTCTCTCCTCAAGTTCCCGTGACATCTCGCGGTGTTCGTTAGCTTCTGGATCCTTAAATTGCTCTTCCTCGGGCGTATCGGGCTCTTAAACATATCAGAGTCGTTGTACAAAATTCCTACATTTGACGCTTAATTGTAAATACAATGATTTGAAACATCAATTTTGTACCTTTATCTACCTCGTACGGATCTTTTTCTGTTTTCAGATCGTTTTCGTCAAATTTTTCTGGCTCATAATTGGTCTCTAACTTTCTTTCAATTGATTCATCCGTGGCTGATAATCGTGTCTCGTTTTCGGCCACTGTCTGAGATTTGACATCATTGAGAGTCTTAGAAGGATGCCACAATTCGCTTCTTTTGCGTGTTTTATGTGGCTTAGGTGCTTTTCCCAAATAATGCATGTGCTCATTCGTGTCTGCTCTTTCCAACGGCAGTTCTATCTCCTGGTCTAACAATGGACCCTCAGTAGGATCTGCAGCGGTGTCCACAAACTTGCTGTTCTCGTTGGTTTTACTTTCTCGTAGCTGAGTCGAAGATTTCCTTTGAAAAACGTGGAAAATGATTTCATCTTAGCTGTGTTGAAATGCAAATTTTCATCGCAATAACTAAAATCTGACTTTAATTGCACCCACCGCAAAATGAACCAGTTGTATAAGAAACTGAAATGCGGTTATTTGTCTGTTTACCTTGATGTAATTGGCTCTCCTTTATCTTGATCCGGGTCTAGCTGGATATCCTCTACGTTTTCTTCAGCTTCTTCCTCGCCCACATCACCCGCTGCATGACCCTCCCCTTCAAAGCCATCTCCCCTTTGGTCTCCAATACCATACCGAACAGTGCCGCCCCCTTTTGGGGACCCTTCATTACGAAGGTCGCCATCAGCTTCTTGGTCCTCCGATTCGGGCTCCAATGCCTCCTTTTCGGCATCGTCGGCGTTGGAGTCCCGCGGCTTCTCATCTTCGTCAGCCTCCTCAGGGTTAACCAGAGGTGTTTTTCCTCCCGCTTCGGGTGGAGCTTTTGCTGTCGGAGCACCTTTGACTGTATCGTTTGGGTCTGCATTCTTGGCGTTTTGCGTCGTCGCTGTCGCCTTTCTGCTGTCATTTCTAAGTATTACAGCTCTTATCATTTTTCAGGCATTTAAAAAATAGAAAAATAGTGCTGAAAAATGGCTGATTATCTGGCAACGGAAACAAAATACATACTGAGAAGTGGGTGACGCACTCTTTTTTGAGTCTGTCTTGGTTGCTAAAGACTTCTTAGACCTAGAAAATTCACGTGAAAAGAAAATAGTGGCTATGAATTATTTCCAGGGTTGAATCAACGTACTTTTTTGATACGAGGGATTTATTCGACTTCTTTTTCCTGTAAAAAGTTATATCAAGTTATTTAAAACCCAATCTATAAAAGGTTGAAATCCAATCTGCTGTTCTTACGCATTTAGAAGTGGGTCTTCTTTCCCTGCAGACGAGGCTCTGAAATTGAAGCCCTTAAGTTAGAACTAGCAATTTGTTCTTTGATGATAGAGAAGTTAGGGTGTGACTATGGGTCTTGTTAACTCACACGTCACTGATTCTCGCTTGCCCGCCTCCGTCTGTTGTTAGTGGCATGACCCAAGGGACCGATCTTCAATTATCTTTCGATCTTCTATAAAACTGGATAATCAACTGCAATTTCTGATCGTGATTGCATGAAAAATGAGATCCCGGTGACTTTTATGTTTAAAATAAGACATGGGTGAGGCTCTATCGTGACATGTAACATTATCAACAATTTTTGAGTGAGAATTCAGTTTGTCTATTATAATGCAGCTATTTTCGCCTGATCGGGTGACTCAAACCTCAAATTATTTTTTGCTTTTTTTTTTAATTTTCAGAAAGAATTACCGATGCTTCGTTATCGATTTGAATGTATCTTATTTTATTTTGGTTTCAGATCTAGAGTGGTCTTATGGAATGTCCTGTTGGCTTTACAATAATTGAAATGGCACAATGAAGCGTAAAAGAGCTTGGATTGACGCTGATTTCAGCGTCGATGATGTGAAAGTAGTCCCCAAAACATCTTTGAAAGCTCCTGTATTACTGTCCTCAAATAGTTCGAAATCAACGAACGATTGCAATGCAAAACAAGTGCGGAAAGATGTGAACAAATGGACTACTAGTGGCTTATGGCACGAGATTCACCAACCGGAAACCGTTCAAGAATTGTGCCTGCACACAAAAAAAGTTCATGAAGTGTCCGAAAAACTAGATACCTGTACTCGAAGTAGAAGTAATTGTGGAAAAGCCGTCGTCCTAAAAGGGCCCAGTGGTTGCGGGAAAAGCAGCGTTGTTAGAGCCGTGGCCAAAAAATTAAATCTAGAGTTGAAAAGTTTCAAAACAGCCTCTGGGTGTAATTTGTTCTCAGATCAACTAACAGATGATTCAGAGCTGAAAGAATTTAGAAGCTTTGTTTTATCGTCTGCTAACAGCGCATTGTGCCTAAAGACCGCATGTCGATCCTCAATTTTGTGGATTCCGGAATTACCGAATGTGTTTGTGATGTCTATGTATAAGTTGGAGTGTCTCCTAGACGAATATCTTAAGAGCGAAAGTGCGTGCCCAATTGTGTTCGAGTTTCCCGAGTCCTCAAATCGGGTCATATCATTTTCAAATAAGTTTGTGATGCTGAATCGTGTCATTGAAATATCTATGAACGCAGTAGCTCCGACGTTTATGAGTAAAAGTTTGCAATTGATTGGTTGCAAATTACCAGTCAATTTGAAAAAATATTTATCCTCCAGTATGATCAGGAGAATAGTCGACAGTTCTGCTGGGGACTTAAGGCTAGCGGTCAACATGGCACAGATGTTATTATTGTCTAAAAGGACGAAGTTTCAGAATTCCGGATCTAGTACGAAAGATTTCACGCTTGGATTTTTCCATGCTGTTGGAAAAGTTTTGAACCCAAAACGCCTGGAGGTTTCAGAGTCGGTTTGCCGCCGATGCAATGTTAACCCGTTATCCTTTAGTTTAGTTGATTTAGTTGACTGTTTAGCGGCAGGATCCCAATTTTTTGTATCACTTGTAGAAGAAAACTTTTGTGATTTCGCTGGTTCAGTGGAGACATTTTCCAAGTGTTTTGATGACTTTGTTGTTTGTGATTTAATTAATGCAAACAAGTTTGTATCAACAACTGGAGCTGTGAATTATTTTGAAACTTGTGTACATTTTGTATGCTGTGCATCTGTAGCCTTTTGGCTTTCGCAAAATATTAATGAAAGGCCTAAAAAGTCATTCGCTCCGGTCAGAAAGCCAACAACTGTACATAAAAATGGCATGTCTACTTTTGGTCAAATAAATCAAATTTCACTGAGCAGGAATTGTTTATTTGAAATAGATGCGTATTCTGAATTAATGCAGTCAAAAAAAATGGTTAAAGAAAATCTGAGGTCCTTTTTTGAAGATGGAGCGATCTCCAGTAGTTCTAATTTCTTTGATAATTCTATTGAAATTGAAGATTACGATTATTATACTGAATTTTCCAAAGTGAATTTTCGTACTGAAATTTATTAAATGAATTTTTTCATAACATGGAACTGTTTTTCAGATATATGAACTGACCCTGCAAATGAACAAGTTGTGTCTGGTTTGTAGCCGGTCCTTGACTTTATCAAGTCGTCTAGGAAACTCTCAAGCTGCCACGAAGAAATTAAAACGATTCTACAGAGATGTCTCGATCAAAAAGAACACCTCCGAATCAGAATCACTAAATGATGATTTTAGTCCGAGTTTCAATATTTACCTGGACAAAAGATGTTTGAAAACTCCTGGAGGAAAACAACTGGATGTTGGAAATGAGTCACTTGCAGTTGGAATTGCAGACGAATGGACCTCTCAGAAAGAGTTCATTTTCCCAACTAGCATGCATTTTACCTCATTAATCAACTCGTGTATTGATAATCCCCTGAATCTAACTAGAGAAGAAATAACATCTCATCTGATTAACCAATTAGATTGTGATGCTATTCTCATTTTTGAGTCAGAAAATGAAGAACTTCTGAAGATACAAAACGAATCGTTATCTCCGATTATTGCGTGGATTAACCAAGAGCTAAACACAAGTTTGAAAGCGTCTAAAGAGCTTCTGATTGTAGAAATTTCAGATGATTGCAAGTCAAAAATTGCGCATTACCTTGAGAAATTTAACTTCGAAACACTGATGGGTCTTAAATTTGCTGTAGATTCGTTGAAGTCTATGTTGTTGACGATAGCAGCTTTTGAGCAGAAAATAGACTGCGAGACGGCCATTCAGTTGTCCCGTTTGGAGGAAGAGTTTCAAATTGCGAAGTGGGGAAATGTTGAATGGGCTCACGACGTGAACAGATTGGAAGTTTTGAGTAGATTTTCATCCGCCATTCTCTTTGCAACTTTTTCGTCTGAAATGCACTATCGGATTAATGGAGCTTAATTTTGTTTTAGAAATAGAGAAATCTCGAAATAATTGTTTGAGACACCTGTTTTTTTAAATCGACAAAACCGAATTGAAGTTTTCGTGATAGGAAATTCTTCTTTTCCTTCTTTTAATTAACAGAGCATAAAGTATGAAGTTTTTAATAGGAAATTGTTCCCAGTTTTTTCACCTGCTGAGGCGATGATCTGGGGCGGAACTATGACATAGGGTTCTTCAAGCAATTACTGGTACCTCACAGATATTGTGTTAAGGTTTGAAAAAGCTGAGATTCGGATTGAAACAAAACTAAAAAGATGTTTCGAGAAAATCGGATCTGAATATCTGCTTTTTTCAAACAGATTCTCATCGGAGCGGATGCAAATATAATCTAACGTATTGAAATTTGTTTTTAATGCACTTTTGATTACGCTAGCGAGCATCTAGTGTTTTAGTACGAACCTTATTTTTATCTTATCTTATTCGCAAATGAAAGTGTTCCCTTGTGTGCTTTTCTGCTATAATCACGATCTGTAGCATTGGAAATCTCATAGCATATGTTCTCGGCTTTGTTTGTGGCTAGTGTTGGTAGTGCGTGAGACTCATAATTTCTAGGTCGCAGAGGGTCGTATGCTGGAGTCCGAGACGTGGCCGACTTTTTACTAACTCGAGGCTTATCTATCTATCTATTGTGTAATTAGCGTTTCATGTGAAGCATGTTTAAGGAATCCCTATGTTTGCATGTTTAAGTTTTTTCAACGTATTTTTTTTTTCACGTTTAACGAAAGAGTTTTTGCACGTTTATGCTATATCGTATATTGAAATGATGGCGTTTTATCTGATTTTTTAAAATTTTTTTCAAAAATTTAGGTATAAAAAAAACTAACCGTAAATGAGAGTTTTCAACCCTATTGTGGGTCACTGTCAAGGTAAATTCAAGGGTTGCATATCTGATGTCCAATTATGACTACTGAAATCTTTTCGATTCTCGAGATATGGCGTTTTTAATGTTATTTTTAGTTTTTCAAAAAAAAACTAATCAAACTTGAAATTCTCAACCATGTGGGGCATTGTCAGTGTACACTCAGGAGTTGCAAATCTGGTGGTAAATCATGACTGCTCAATTTTTTTGATATTCGAGATATTGCGTTCTTATGGTTTTTCCATTTTTTTTTTTCAAAAAACTTAGATATAAAAAAACGAACGGAACTTGAAACTGTCAAACCTATAGTGGGGTGCTTTCAAGGTACATTCATGGGATGCAAATCCGATATCAAGTATGACTGCTCAAGTCTTTTTGGTTTTCGAGATATAGCGTTGTTGTAATGAGATTTTCTTTTGTTCATAAACTGACTGCTCATATCCTCTTGGTTTCCGAGATGTGGCGTTTTTAATGATTTTTTTCATAGATATAAAAAATGTAATTATAAAAACAAACTAACAGAACTTGAAATTCTCAACCCCGTTGCGGGGTCATGCCAAATACACATCGGCGTTACAATTCTGCCCTCCTCTTGTGACTGTTCAAATGCTTTTGTTTCAAAGATGCGGCGATTTTTTAAATTTTTTTCAAGAAACTTGAAGTTAAAGAAACTTGAGTTAAAAAAAAAGTAACCCGTCTTGAAATTTTCAACTTTTTTCATTGTGGTTCTGTTAGGGTACATTCAGGGGGTACTGTCAAGGTACAAATCTTGCCTCTAACTTTTACAGCTCAGTTATATTTTTTTCCGAGATATGTTGCTTTCATGATTTTTTGAAATACTTTTTCTTAGATTAAAAAAAAAACCTATCTTAGATTTTAAAAAAACCAATAGAAATTGAAAATTTTAACCCTATGGTGGGATGCTATCAGAGAACAATATATGGTAGCAAAACTGCCCGCTAATTTTATCTGCTCAAATCATTTCGGATTTTGAGATATGGCGTTTTTAAGGAAATACAAATCTCTGATAGCTGAGCCCAGTTTAACTTCACAGATGCATTAAATAACGCTGTTTTAGTACATGTTTAAGGAAGCTTTTTTTCGCCTTCAACGATATATTTGAAGCACCGTAGGTGCGGTTCATGCGCTAGTTTTTACTTCTTATTGCACTTGTTAGAACTTTTGAGCTGCTTTTTGTCGTGTTCTCGCTAGTGTTTGCGAAGCACAGCTTCGCCTTTATGTCATAATTTTGCTATTATGATCTTGTTAACTGCTTGATTTCAATCCATCCCTGCTAATGAAAAAATGACCAAAAATTGTAATTTTTTGTTGCAATAATAATGATGGTCGGAATACTCGTTCCTACTACTGTTATTCTTGTAATGTTTAAAATTCCGAAATTTTGCTTTCCAGCTCCTGAGTACCTAATGCTCAGGCGTTTTAATAGCATAAAGTATTTGCAACATTTTTGATCTGAGACGTGGTTCTATCCTCGGAGATGGAAAATTTAAACAAGCCTCTAAATTTGTATTTTCAATTTAATTATTAATTACTTTTTATTATGCTGTTTTCCGTTTCAATTGTTCAAAATTCTACAAGATCTGCAGCTTCGTGGTATGCTTTATTGTTGTCAAAATCGTGAATAATTCATCAATGACAGAGCATTCACGCTGTTGGCTCTAATGCATTTTTGATTAGATGCACTTCTTTGGGGACACGTTAAATTTTTTGGCATAAAGTAATTCGTTCTCATTTCAAATGCAAGCAGGTGTTTAGTTCAAGCTCTTCTTTGCAATTGAAGCGTATGAGCAGTCCTACTCTCTACTTAAATGGTGCTTTCCCATTTGTTTGTTATCCACATTGAAAAAAATATTATGTCGTTTTCCTAAATTAAGCTGTAAAATGTGGCCAAATTGAAAGACTTAAACCCCACTTTAGCTAGAAGTATAGACAGAAAAATTAATTAAGTATGGACTTGAATCGAAAATCGATGCCTGCGCCTAAATTTGCTCACTCGACGAGAAATAAAACACAGATAGCCGGCGAAAATGAAGCAGAAACGGACGAAAGCGAAGGATTGAGTGGGCTGCGATATGAACAACTTGGAGAGCTGCGATTACAGAATGCCAATAATCAGAAGCAAACATCAAAATCAGTAGAATTAGCAGAGTTGTCACAGTTTCAATCAGTTCTGAAACGGCATGATCCGGCGAAATCCCCGCGCGATATCCAAGGAAACAAGTTCAATGTTGTGAATAAAGAAGGAAGCTCTCGACATCAGGTATCAGAGACTAGCCAGTCGCTTCCAGATAGTCTATCGGAACTGAAGATTCGACATCACGAGAAGACGAAGTTAGTTCCATCTTCTGGAGCAGTAGATGTTGGAAGTAGTAGTGGAGTGGGATCCAATGGTATGCAGAATGGAGGCGGATTCAGAAGTGGGACTCCGATATCTGGTGTGAATAATATGGCTGCTGTGAGACTCCCCTCACTGCAGAAGCAGCCAATCAGCAATGCAAACAAGGTCAATCAAGTCCAAAATAGAGTAGATATTGCTTGTTTAGTGTAGTTAAAATAGCGAATATTTTGAAAGTTAATAGACATGAAAATGTCGATGATATCATTCGATTCGTTTTCATAAGCACCCAACCTTGCTCTTAAATTAACCTAGCTTTTTTATGGTGAAATGATTATTTGTGTTCCTCGAAGTAAATCTGTTGTTAAATAGTTTTTGAAAACTTTATGTTTCAGTATTCTCGGTATTCCAGTAGCAATCTATCGAGCAGCCTCCTCAAAAACTGAACGAAGAAAGCTTCGCCGAAGAAGAATCCTAACTTACTGTTTGAGTGCTATTAGTAGTTAGTAATTTAATGATATTCATTGACGAAAGTTTGGCGCTATGATAATTTGAAGCCAGATTTGAATATGATTGAGTGAACTGTCGCGCCGCTGAATGCATGTTCAAGCTATCAGCGTTTTGAACTCTGCTCAGCGGAGAAGTTTTTTGTGTTAGTTTCCCAAAATCCTGTTTTATGTCTTCTCTGTTTCAACAGAGAAATAGTTTAATTCCAAAATTATGTGGGTTATTGCCCTTAAAATACACTTGAACTGTTTTGTAAAGAAGTTATCAATCTATATTTTTGAGCGCAATAAATGACTGAAGTTATTTAATTTCCTTGCAGCCATGTGCTGTGGCGTCGATGCAGTCTGAAGTTATTCCTGTCCTGAGGTTTGATCCGACTACTCACCCACGCTTGTCTGGACACATTTTTTAACCAGCACATTCAAGCACCCCAAAAAACAGTCAGAGATTCGATTAATATAGCATAGCCCTTGCGATTGAAAAGGTTTCAGGGTAAGATATTTTCTAATAGCAGTTATTTCGATGATTAAAGTCTAGATTGTTTTGATTATTTTAATTGGAACAATCTAGACTGAATTGTGGAATAATTGGCGATACAGCTACATTTCGCTCGTCACATGATTCAAAAGAAGCAATTAGATTTAAATCATATGGAATCTGAGAATATGGTTGCTGATGTTTCAACTGGGAATTTGGGAAAAACTAAGTGCATGCGGTTGAGGAATTAGATGTTTGCGCTTGAGTGAAGGTTTCAACAGTGCGATAAACTTTGAATGTACGTCAAATGATAATGATGCATTATCTATTATATATAAATCTTTCAATAGCAAATTATCTGCTTTTTATTTGATCATAAAGACTGTTATGATCAAATAATAACAGATGTTTTGCTATTGAAAGATTATAGCATGTTTTAGATCTTTATACTTTGATGCACATTCTAAGTTTTTTTTGCACTGTGGAAACCTTCACTCAATCGCAAACATCTGATCGCTGACATTTATTTCCCCCAAATTCCTAGTTAAAGCATCACGAACGAAATGAAGCTGTATCGCAAAATGTTTCATAACTCCTTTGTTCACATCGTTTTTCAAAAAAAATACAAGCCTGGTTGTCAGCAAACATTTTGAAATTCATTACACCAACCTGTTGCTCCTGCAGTAAACTCATGAGAATTAAACGCTCATTGCATGCTAATGAAAGTGCTTTGGCCTCGTCACTTTGGAAAGTGGTTCAGCTGTAATGAACAGCAGTTTGCAGTTCGCTAGCCCCATGAAATATTACCACTATTTTGATATATGAAGAAGCAAATCCGACTAGTACTTTGTCTAGTATCGCTGTCATCTGCCCAATCACAATCACAATCTGGCATATCAGTGGAATGACCATAATTGAGTTTATGATACTAACTGCCTTTCAAATAACGTAAAACTCTTTTTGCTGCAATCCTACACTTGTCTACTTGAAAAATGCGCTATAAATACAAGCGTTGATTCTGGTATGTATTCAACCACATTAAATTTAGAAAGTAGCTTTTTGATGAATTTCGCGAAATTTCCAAACAATGACCGTTAAAATTAATTTTTCTACCCAAAAATCAATTAAATTTTGCTGATTCACGGATATTGAACCTGCACGAAGTTTTTTGTTCAAAGTTTGAAAAACTTGCTTGTCTCATTAGAATTCTAAATGGTATCATCGACCCAAATACATTATGTCGTACGCTCATTTTTTTCATCATAAAGACAATAAAGCGAATTGACTTCAGAAAAATCAGTAAGGTATGAGACCAATTTCGCCCTGACTTTTAACCCATTATTTGACTGAGTTTACTCAAAAAATCATCGCCCCCAATGTCTTGTTGCTCCAAGTTGTTGCAGGAAGTCATTCTCGTCTTTCGGTGTTTTTAGATTTGCAGTTTTTACGTTAACTTCAAGCTATATGCAGCTGCCAAAATTAGTCTCAATATTGTCATCTTACTGTTTTTTTTAAACTCAACATCTTTGATTTGATTGCAACCGGTAGCTACATTTCTTGCCTTGTATCTCTCAATTTCGCCCTCGTTATTGTTCTTAACAGTGTATTGCCATTTACCCACAAATAGTTAAATCAGTTTTTTATACCAATTTTCAAACATCATGCTTCTCAGAGAATTGTTATCCAAGCAATTTTTTCCAAGCAAGATTATTTGGTGCATCTTTTGCAGTTTTGGGCCAACTCTCTACGTAAAAGCAGCATCTGCTAGCCAACATTCCTCAAAACTTCGATCATTTCCAAAAAATATATATATTTCAGAATATTTGTTGTTGTCTGATACGCGCACTGCAGCGTAACTGCACGCTTTCATTGCCTTCGGCATCACTATATTCATTTTTTCCGACTGAGTTATTTTCAGAAACTTTAAAGTTATGTTTTAGGTTTCTCTCTAAATCCCTCCCGTAATATTCTATTCACTTTTGAAAGGAAACTTAGTTTCGTCTAATGACACATTTCTTCCCTCCAAAAACTCATAATTTCCTTCAAGTTCTGTCCCATTCATCTAGCCTTTGCTGTTCAAACTATATCCTAAAAAATCCTACAGCCCTTAAACCATTTTTTTTGTTTTGTTGTGAAACACTCATACATGTACATGTATGCTTGACAACAAAAATTTTCATTTGTTTCAAATCCTGTTTGCTTACATTGAAAAAAACTTCGTATGGAGTTATATCAATTGCACAGTGATACGCTCAGTTTTGTAAGTAAAAGGCTGTTTTTAACGCAAAGACCAAAACATTGTTGCCAGCAGTTAGTAGAAGACAACTAGTTATAGACATACACTTCCAACGCTCTGTGTGTAAGGTGCAAAATTTCTGTCCGTTTTGTATTATCAAGACAAAACTGCTTAAATTTTCCAAAAAATTGAGTCAGCGCCAAGTCAAAATTCACCGCTTCCCCGCCCTAGGAAAAATAGCAAGCTTTCAAAAATCCAGTCAGTTTAATTTACCTTGCGGCTCGGGTTAAACACTATCTCTCTCCTCCTGCCTTATTGTCCTGTCTGACTTTGTTTTTTACCGTCGTTTAAGCAGCACTCTTTCAATTTATGATTGCGCGCTTGCTAGCAGAACTTGGGTTGAGAGGAGAACCCATTGAGTTATGACCTGGAGGGTTATACTCATAGAGTAATTTCAGATAAAGTACACCGTCTGCTCGTCACGCTATCTTATTTTCGGCCGGATAGATTCGTGCAGCTTCTTAGTATAATACCGATCTTAGGCTTACTCTTATATCTCCTAGTCTCAATAGATCTAGTGTATAATGGTTTATGCGAGTTAGTTTCCAGAAGGAGAACAACTGTATTCTAAGTTTTATTCAAATTGCTCTGGTGCTGAAACTACAAGTAGTTTCAGCACTTACAAATAAGTGTAAATGTTAGAAATGGATTATGATTGGTTAGTTGGGAATATTTTATAGGAATAGAGAATTATATTTATAACCAATTATAAATTCTAGTTTAGAACGGGTTTCACCCATCCGTGGCTTAGAGAGTTTTTAGTTTTTAAATGTTTAATGTAGTGAAGGGCGGGTGATGAAGTTTCTTTTTGAAGTTGCGAGCATTGACTTCTTGGAGAAAGGAGAAGTGTGGCTGTTCGTGTTTGACGGAGAAAGATGGTTATGTTCGTATCTCTAGATGGGTCTCGTTGATCGTGGTAGTCTTGGGTGATTGTCAAGATTTCTGATCGATGCAATGATGTATCGATTTCGTTAAGTTTAGAGTGAGACTATGTGCAGGGTGAAGTTTGATTTTTCCGTGTGAAGTGCCAAGTGAATAGGATCTGTACGTGTAGTCAACATCGAGATGGCCATTGGTCTGGTTCAATGGTTTTCCTTTGCTGCGATGTTGAGTCCATACTGTAAATCCTTTGAGGTAGTGACTTTAGGCAGCAAATCGAATAGATTTGCCATTCCGAAGTTGGAATGTGATTGGATTGTCGTCTCCTTTGCTGCTCGTCTTTTGGGCTTTACGAAATCTATACATACTGCAATTATCGTTCACATATATAATTTCCTTTGTTAGTTTAGTTTTAGTTATGATTTGTTATTAATGGTTATTGCAAAAGCGTTTTTATATTAGTTCAGTTATTTTTTAAGAGTTGCTCACCCTAGAGCAACTCTTGGTAAAAATAGAGTGTCGGTCACAAAGCGTGGTGTAGCGCGGTGGGTTAGGCCGGCTATAGAGCATGCTCAGGACGTCCCTCTTGTTGGTGAGGCCAGGAATGGGGTATATTTTTATGGTCTCTTTGTGCAGAGTCCCTTTTTGTGTTCAACCTTTTGTTTCGTTTTTATTACTTGTTTTTCTCTGTTTTATTTTGGCTGTGTCCTTTTCTCAAAAATCGAACCTTTTGGTTTTGTTTTGTCTTTCGACTTTTTTACGTTTTATTCGGTTGTGGTAAGACTTGAAAGTGGTCTTCAAAGAATAGTTTATCCAGTTTTAATCTGGTTTGGGTACCGTGGGCTTTTCTTTCTTAGTCATGCTATTAGTTTGTGGTTTTGTGACGTTAGTAAGCTGCGTTACACATGAAACAAGGAGGAAAAAATGCAATTATACGCTCATGAAAGTTAATTTCCAAAAGTTTATTTTCTCTCTAGGCTTATTTGTTTTTCTTGATATTTAATAGATCATTTTACCATTTTTTGCTGGTGTATGCGAAGTGTAGCTCTTCATCAATGTTCATCAAAGATAAATGAATTCTCTTCAACGGCCAGATCTCTTGTTGGGTTGAACTAGCTTGATAGATCATCTCTCCTTGCTTTAACTTAAAAAATATCTTACTTTATGTTTTGTCAACAGGCTACAAGGTGGGTATAAATGACATACTTGCTTATTTTAATCTAGCATAATTATAATGTTCTGAAAGCCAATCGACTATTTTTCATAGGAGTTCATTGCAATTTTCAGATCATCGAAAATGGTTGCAAAAATTGCCGTCAAGCCTGCTTTCAAGGGAAAGATCGTAAAGAAGAGGACGAAGAAGTTCATGCGACACCAGAGCGATCGATACCCCAGGAAACTGCTGACAGGATGGAGAAAACCCAAGGGAATTGACAACTGTGTGAGGCGAAGATTCAAGGGAAAACCTCTGATGCCTAACATCGGTTACGGAAGCAACAAGCGAACCAGGTGTGAATTAACATCATTTATCTGTTGGCTTAAGACTCGGTATCCACGCTATTGAGCTTTCGGAGAGTAATAGCTGTTTTTTTTTGCGATACGTAGATGTGCATAGGTCCTTATTAAATGCCAATCATTTTTCACTTAATTAATACCCGGTTCTGTTTCTTGTCATTCGCATTTTTTTTGTTGAAGTATGCTTCGCAGACGCATTGCAAAAATTCGGAAGTATGAATACTATATTTTTCGAATAAGATAAAACCTTGAATTTAAGAGCGTCCCTTTTTTCATTTTATGATTGAATGCATCTAATTGAGGGCGCCATTTTTGAACCGGGAAGTTTTTCCTTCTAAAAAATACAGTACGTGTGGTCAGCAGCGGATTTAGGGAGAGGGGGGAGGCACACTCTCCCCTTCAGGAATTCGACGTCCTAAAGGGTCCCCTTTAGTACTATTATAAGTGAGAATTTGGTCAAAATAGGGTCTTATTAGGGATTTGGAAGAGCTTTGAGAATCAATTTGGTCGACCAAAATAGTTTGCCAAAAGGGAGAGATTCGTCATTGAACACCAATGAAGCTAATATGCTAACCAGATTCATATAATCTCTTGTTCGGTGCTTTAGATACATGATGCCTAACAAGTTCTACAAAGTGCGAGTCTTCAACGCCAAGGAACTGGAACCGCTGATGATGCAGAATCAAAAGTACGCCGTCCAGATTGCGGCCAGGTGTTCAAAGAAGACGAGAAAGGCTATCGAAGAGCGAGCACAGCAGATGCAAGTGAAATTGCTCAACTGAAGTGAACTCATCTGAATTGAGACTTTGATTTCATGCTATTTTTGTCTTTTCGAAGTCTTTGGGTCTTGAGTTCCCAACTTGATGAATTTCAAGTTTATCATCATCACGTTTTGCAAAAGTTGAGTAAAAATAATTAGGGATAAAAAAAGTCTCCGATGCGTGCGTGTGTGTGTGTGTGTGTGTGTGTGTGTGTGTGTGTGTGTGTATGTGTGTGTGCGTGTGTGTTTGGGGGATTTGGAATTTCGAAGTTTTTAATGGAATTTTTTTGGCTCAACTGGTGGCTGCTTCAATATTGCCAGCTTACTTGCCGTTGTTACCCTTTGGCTAATGTTAAATCGCATATTCGTTTTGTATTGCATAGTTTCTATTGCGTTATTTTATTGTTCAGACGCTTTGGCAATTTTTTTTGCTGAAATGTTAATTTTCTCATTTTCACTGATTTTCAAAAAATGGCACCAATGAAAGACCGACTATTACATTGTATGTCTGCATACTTCCATAGGCTCTAGGAAATTGAGCTTGCGTTACTATGAATGAAGCCTCAATAGCGTCCAGGTCCTTCCCACTTAGTCTAGTGGTAAAGTGCGTGCCTTGAGATCCTGCATTTTGTTGCGTACCTGCTTTTTGCACAGCACGGACTTTGTTTTGTATAATTTCGTTTTCTTTTTTTGGTTAGATGGTTTCGGTTTATGTAAAATTGGCTGAGTATTGACATTTGATATCGTTTGAAAGGCATTTTTTTTTGCTTTTGCGTAAGGAATGGGTGGGGCGTAAAAACTTCGAACTTCCAATTTTATTGCAAAAAAAGTTTTAATGGTGTCAAAGTTGTTCTGGCCTCAACGGGCGTGTACGTGAAGCTCACTGGCTTACTTGCCCTTCGGTAAGTTTCTTTTAAGTGTTTATTACACAAGCATGCTTGTGTTATAGTATGAAATATCTTTTTTTTCAACCTAAGTCGCAAATAATGTTGCGGCGCAAATATTGTTGCGATAGAATGTGCTCATTTTAAAGTTTTCATTTTGATCATTAACCGGCTATTAAGTACGGCCAGTGCTAAGGATTTAAACAGGGTTTTTATTCAACTTTTTTGAGGGTGGATTTAATTTTTTTGTCTGCTGAAGAAATGTCGGCTTTGTTACCGCTTTCTAAGTTTTTTTTCGATGCTTAATTAACATTCAATTGGTTTAATTCGTGGCTTCTTTTCTCGAAAAGAACTCAAAACAAAATCAAGACAAATTTAGGAAAACTTTTGATCAGTTTTTTTTGAATAATTTTTCTGCGGTATTTTTTTTCTTCGTTAAGTTTGCAATGGAATGTTGCGTTTGCGCTTTATTCTAAAAAAAGAAGCTTTGCTTCGCCTTTATTTGTAAAATTTCTAGAAACGCAGGTAATTCAGTTGCAAGATAGTTTTGTTTAAAAATTTTTTTTATCTGAAGTTGTTTTTAGTTTTGATTTGTCAATTCTTCTGCAAGTGCTGATAGTGAATTTTCAGTTTTGTTTCGCAAATGATGCAAAGCTTCTGTGTTTTTTGTCATTTTAAAAGCAAAAAAAAAATTACTATTTAAAACATTGAAGATTACTTCTTAATTTTAAGTTGTTTGATTGTTTATTTCAACCATTTGTTCATTCAGTTAGATTTGTATAGAAAGATCCTATAACAGCGAGGCTTTGAATGCTGCGTCTGCCCTTTCGGGTCTTTAAAATATATTGTAGTTCATGTTTTGATTTTTAAATCTTGTTTAAAAACCCTGCTGAAGAAATGAAGTGAGTTCATATTTTAATAAAAAAGAAAACTTAATTGTAAATTGTTCTTAAAATAGTTTCTTAAAAATCCTCGCCCTATTCAAAGCACCAAGTGATATGCTTTGCGTCCATCAATTTAATATTGGAGTCAATTAGCGGTAACTTAGCCTCTCGTCAATATGGAATCATTTTTGAGCTGACAAAATTAGCCACATTTCCTCTTCGCTAATGAAAAGCTGAAAATTTTACGCATTTAAACTATACCAAGTTGGCTGCACTAGTCCCATAATCAAACCTCGATTCCTTCATGATTATTAATTACAGATGAAACGTCTTCTTTGAACTTTTTTGCGATAAAATTTAAAAAACGCATCAAAATCGATTGAAAAAATCCTAATATTTCTTAAAAAAATTATCTTCCCAAAAATGTATACTCAACCACTTTCTTCAAAATAATGCAAGTATTCCCTGTTTTTTTTTGTTTTTTAGCTTTAACATAAAAATGAAGTTAAATAAAAACTAGAAAAAAAAGTTTTCAGATTGCCGGGTGTTTCAGCTTCCGCTAATTCAAATTTATGTTAAGACTGGTATTTAGATGCTGATAGGAACACGCAAAAGCTAGACAAACAGTTTTTAATTACAACATAAATTTTCTTAAAATGTGGTTTTTTGCCAAATCCTTGGTTTTGGTTCCGTTACAACAAAATTATGAGCAAAGCGTTCCTGGTTATTTTGCTGAGATCATCAGAGAAACCCATTTGTTTAATTTTTGAGTTTTACGCCATCTGATGCTCTACAGTAAGTGCACTGATTAATGTTTTGAAATAGTTTCCCAGTAATGCATTGTTTCGCTTGCGATAAGCAAGCGTTATCAAATCGGAAAATGGACTTTTGTTCAGGTTAAAATTGTTTACTAAATCAGTGAAATAATTTGGGTTAGTTTCCGCTTATCAAACGTTCTTGAAGACTCATTTAGTGTTGAGGATTATGTTAATTGACGTATTTGCGTTATGCTGAACATCCTTTCAACCAAACTTTTGTTATTTGTTAATTCAAAACTTTGTTAACTCACTACTAGTTGCAATACCATGTTAAAATAGTATTGCGAGTAGTGATATGTTGCGGTTTGCTTTTGCTCACGCTTGCAATTAGCAAGCGTTTTTAACTCCGAATATACTTTGTATAACAAAATCCGCTAAATCATTTGATAGATTGGTATATAATAAATTCGAACTTCTATCCTTTTCCGTCAAACGTGGTCCAGAGTTATGACTACACCTGGGACGGCAATTTGTTTAGGCTTGAATCTGGCCAAGACCTTTATTCCTTTATTTAAACTGGAAATAACCCGTTTCAAAAAACTTGTCGGCCTTATGTTTGCTTATTATATGTCTGTTTAGTTGGAATGTTAATCTTTCTTGTTGTTGGCGGTTTTTACTTGTGATTAAAATTGCTGTGGAATTATTCTTATGTTTTGAATATTTACTTGATCTGGTTTTTGTAATTTCTTTTTTCGCTCGAAAAGTTTGTTTGGCTTCATTTTTTGGCATATCATTCATCGGATTATCGGCTTAGTGACCAAATTTAGCTTCGCTTAAACTTTTGCATCTTTCTAATTGGGGGCATTATAACTTCAAATTTCAGACCTGTCGAAGTTTTCTTCGACATCAATTTTGTTTCCAGCTCAACGGGGGCTTACTTTACTTTTGACGGCTCAGTTGCACATCGATAGATGTTTCTAAATACTTTGTAAACGCCGGCAGTTCTGTTTCTGGTCAAGTTTTCCTGAAAATGATTATCATTTGAGTCAAATATTTGAGTTTAAGGTAGTTGTGATTCTTAAAACAATGAATCGTTTTTCACAATTTCACATTTGAGTTTTTCAGCTTTTGCGTTTTTTTTTGGTAGATAAATTTTCAAAAAAATTATCCAAAAAATGATTAATTTTTTTTTGAAACAAAGTCATTTTTTATACATGCTACATTTAATAGAAATCTATGACTAATAGGGATTTTTGCCCGCAATTTCAAGTACATCGAAGAAAGGGTCATTGTAGCTACGTTTTTGCAGCCCTTACTGTCGTGATTTGCATTCCAAAAAAAATGAAAAGTTTTTTGTTTTCAAAATACAGAGTTGAGATTTTTTGCAATTAAGACTCAAACTAAGAGGAAAGCGAGCAAAGTAGCGAGAAGCAAAATGATCTGCTTCAAGTTTGAAAATTTTTTAATGATGAGGCTGGGTAAAAATGCCAAATTACCGGCCATTTGGCTTATTCATTTCAAAAAATGCAAGGTTTCTGAAGAAGCAAGTTTTTTGAGGAAAAATGTTTGAAACAGATTCATATTTACGCAGCAAAAAATGTGTTTGTAACTTTCTTTTTTACTTAAGCAGTGATCGGCTACCGCTTATTTGATATCGAAATTTGTTTTAGTTATATAAAGAGTCAGGGTTTTTGCTGAGCTGTCTCATTTACAAGTTACAAAAACAGCAAGGCTTAAAGTTTTTTTTAATTGCTTTAAATTATTCTCGTTTTTAGAGAGTGGTATAATTCATGAACTACAAGATCGCGTAACACATATTGGTTTAGCAATCGACATCAACTGTTTTCCAAAAATGAGTAAAAAACAAAAAAAACATAATTTTTTTTAATTTTTTTCAAACTAAATGCACAATATTTTAGCATTTTTGAACAATTTTTTTAACAATAAAAGTTAATAAATTATAATCGGTTTTTTTCCACATTACTGATATGCGAATTTCAACGCACATGAAATCTTTTCTACGTTTTAAATTTAAGTTGGTTACGTTGGTTACTTGTTGTTCAATTGAATTTTTTTCTACCTAACTTTGACATTTTTGTTACTTTTTTACATTACTCAACATTACTTCCCTAGCGTTTGCCAATTTATAACAAACTCCCCCCCCCCCCCAACGTAACGTGTTCAGGTGGGGGGTGGGATCAGGTGGGGGTTTTTCAGGCGGGGGGTGGGTTCAGGTGGGGGGGGGGGGTTCAAGTGGGGGGATGGGTTGAGGTGGGGGAATTTATGTGGGTTCAGATGGGGAGTGTATTAAGGTGGGGGGGGGGGGAGTTGTTCAGGTGGTGGGGGTGTTCAGGTGCCGTGTGCAAAGGGGCAAACGGCAAACGTTAGGGGGATTTAAGGGGAGCAAAGGGGCAAACGTTGGGGGGGGGGAGGGAGAGATCAACGGAATCTTTTTACAATTTGAGTTTAGGTTTTGAAATGGATTAGGCCAGGCCGAACACTCGCCTTGCAAAGTTTCCGCATCACTCACTTGATAAATGCTGAAATTCTTGGAAAATTTTGCACGACGCGCGAAACAAAAATAAAGTGGAAAAAAAAAACATTTTAATGTGATTTCCTACTTATTATAAAATCCATTAAAATGGATTCAAAATGAATTATAATGCATTTTGTTTTCGCGAGAAAAAATGGATTTAAATCCATTTTTGTTCTAATTTTGTTGTCTGAACATATTATCGGAATCGGTTTTACAACATTATAGACGATTACGTCTCAAATGGCATAATTCCCAAATGGTATAAAAATGAAATATTTCCCAAATGGCATAAATTTCATGCAACAGTTGCTTTGGAAAAATCGAGAACAATTTTTTCGTGAACAATGTGAGAAAATTAGTCAAATTGTCAATTCAAATGTTGATTGACATTTTATCGTGAAAAACTTGTAGAACTTTATATCAAAAGCAAGAAGCATAAGCTTGCGGTTATTAATAAGCTTCATGTGGTCAATTTTTTTCGAGAAACCTGTTGCTTAAATTTGTTTGGAAGCAATTAATTCCAAATCTTGTTCACATGCTTTCGCTCCTGACAAAATGTTAGAGTTAGAAATTGATAGAAAACGTTTAAATTACAATGAAAACTTGAAATTTATGCCATTTGGGAAAAGTTTCCATTTTTATGCCATTTGGGAATTATGCCATTTGGGAAGTTACCTTATAGACCACGAAAATCCATTATAATCGATTTGTTTTCTCTTTTCTTAAATGCGGGTAGCTACTATATTTTCTTACAAAATAAATTTTGCAAAATTGCTCAATTCAGTTCGATTAAGTTGGGTTTTGTGAATTAGTTCGAAAGCCGACTGAGAATAGGATTTGACATTGCTTCAAAATGTCTATAACAGATTAAAAGAGGTGACAGATTTAACCTGTTTGAGTTGAGGGTCTAGCAGGCCTAATCCGCTGATAAGCAGGAAAATCTGTTTAATGAACGCTATATATTATCTCTGGTACACATAATGTGCGACATTCATCGCCTGATTTGGGCTCAAGTATTTGTTTAATGCACAAAGTTACCCAAAATTCGAATAACAGCCGCGGCTGACCGTCTCAGAGTTTAGGACTTAAAAATTGACATAAGAAATCAATAAAACCATCCGTTATCAAAAATCAACTTCTGACCCGCAACTCTTTGCCACATCATTCTGTCTTGCTTCTTTTTGTCGACCAGTCGAAGCTGTTTTGACAAAATCATTTGAATTCTGCCTAGAGTTTGAATTCTTCCCATAATGTTGCGTTTTGTGACATCTTTGGCTCTTTTGGCTTCAGCCGTCTTTGGTGATGGCTACTGGGACATTCAGCTTTCACCTGACAGCGTGGCCGGTGTGCCGTATGGAGCGGGTCATATTTCAGTGTGGAAACACGCAACCAAAGACCGCTACTACGCAATGCCACTGGGTTTGCTCCTCAAAGACAGTGCTGAATGGTTTGAAAATGTGCTGACAGGCCAGAATGAAATGTCCTTTGAAGTACTTCTGTGGTCAGAGGAAGTCAAGGAAGCTGTTTTCCGGTAATTTAGTTAGCTGTTTTCCGGTAATTTAATTAGCTGTTTTCCGGTAATTCAATTAGCTGTTTTCATTTATCATCTTCACTAAGTTTTGTTTTAGTATTTAGTATTGTTTGTTAGTGTGATAATCGTTCCCTCTTTCGAAGAAGGCGGCGTGAAATATTGTTCTCGGTGTTTCCTTCCAAAAAGATGCCAATTGTGCAAAAAAACGTTTGACGGATCTTTTATAGCTTCAGATTTGACTAATATCAATGCTCTACTCTAGAACTTAAATTATATTTCACCAACAATCGTTTTTGCTAGAATATGGGCTTGAAATTTTCTAATGTTAATGTTGGATAAACTTTGCGCGCTCTAACTAATTTTTATTTTAAAATACTGGAAACTAATTCAGCTCGAAAATAAACCCAACTTGCTCCAAAAAAATGTCTAGACTCAAAATCTAAAATTTTGGCTGGGCCTTGCGGCAAAGTGTAGAAGTTAAGAACATATTCTAAGACAAAAAATGTTGTTTTTAACCAATGAAACAAACTTAACTCCAAATTTATTTTGGGAGTGGTTCACTTGTCCGCTAACAACTTTGGGCCCGGGCTTCTAGTAAGTGAAGTTTAAGTATCAGTTCAAGTTATTGAGTAAGCTCGGACGCAATTTTTTGATCCAGAAAATCAAGATTATCAATACGCGAGCCATTTTAGCCCCCTGCACATAGGAACATATATTAGCAGGGCCAGTCAAACTTTATTAAGACAGCCGAGATACGCTCATTTTTGGTCTAAACTTTTGGAAAGTCGAAACATATCTGGGTCGAATTATTAAATTTTAAAAGATTTCGGCCGAGAAATTCGAAACATATCTGAACTGAATTGGGCAAAATTAGACACTTTTTTCTTAATTTAAAAAAGAAATGTGCACAAATTTGGCCAAGGAAGCCAAAACATGCCAAAATTTAGTCAAGAAACTCAAAACATACAGAATTTTGGTCGATAAAGTCCAGGAGTACCAAATTTTGGTAAGAAAATCGAATTATACCAAAATTTAGTCGAGACGCTTGAAACTTACTAATTTTACCCGTTCGCTCTTGATGAGAGTTTTTTCGAAGAAACTTACAGAATATTCATGCCGGCTTTGTTAGTTTTTTTTTGGGCAAATTTTGACCTGCAAATTGTTGTCATCTGAAAGCTATCACTGGCGTGAAGTTATAAGATGCTCTAGTTTCAAAGGTGTTCTACTGCTTTGGGGATTGATGATTGACTATACAGGTAATCGAGACTTTATTAACAATAGGAACACAAAAACAAGCTGCAAAACATCCAATTAGCTAGTTTTCGTTCTTTGCTTAAACCCTTGGTATACAACTTAGATTAGAGGCAAAGCCTGAATAGCGCACAAAATATCTTTTGTTCCAAAAGGAAGTGAACCGAAGCAAAGCTGATTGAACAGTAGCCATATTTCGGTTTAATGATTTTTGTTCAGTGTACAATCCCAAATAGTTGTTTCAGTTGCCCTTATACTCATTTTCTGGGCCCAATTTTTCCATGTTTGTAATATATATGTATCAGAAAAAAAAACGAAAATTTCCTAGGCCTTTTTTCTAAGTTTGAAAAAAGGAAACGTGCACATATTTGGTCAAGAAAGAGAAAACATGCCAAAGTTTGACCAAAAAACTCAAAACAATTAGAATTTTGGTCGAGAAAATCAAAGTATTTTAAAATTTGGTCAAAACGCTTGAAACTAACCAATTTTTGGTCGAAAAAGTTGAAACATAAATTGAACGCCTCGACCCGCGCGCTATTGATGAGAGTTTTTTCTCAAAAAAAATTACAAAGTATTCGTGCCAGCTTAGTGTGTCTTTTCTCTGGGCAAATTTTGACCTGCGAAACTATAATTTTTTTAAACTATTTTTGTCATTTGAAAGCTATCACTGGTCTGAAGCTATAAAATGCTTTAGTTCCAAAGGTGTTCTACTGCTTTGGGGATTGATGATTGAGTATACAGGTAATCGAGACTTAATTAACATAAGGAACTCATAAACTATTTGAAAAAATTGCTATTAACTAGTTTCTGTTCTTTGCTTAAGCCCTTGGTATACAACTTAGAATAGTGGCAGAGCTTGAATAGCGCACAAAATGTCTTTTGCACCAAAAAGAAGTGAACCGGAGAAAAGCGGATTGAGCAATAGCCGTATTTTGGTTTTATGATTTTTGATCCGTGTAGCATCTCAAATAGTCCTTTCAATTGCCCGTATACTCAATATCTGGGCCCAATTTTTTCATGTTTATAATATATCTACGTATCAGAAAGACGAATTTTTTCTGAATATAATTTTTCATTGAATTTTTCTTCTGAAAAGCATGTATAACTGATATCTCGGACAAGTTTTAGAACGTAGATGACAAAAGGGCCCGGCTCGGAACTCATTGCAAATTGATTCGAGGGTCGCCAATTGGTTAATTGATTATGACTAGACTCAAAACGTATCACACTACAACTGGAAATGCATATGGGAGGAGTTAAAAAATTATTCAAAAAAAACCTGTGAAAGTTATTCCAGACACTTTAAAGGAACGTCGGAACATTCCAGGATTCCTCAGAAGAAATTGTTTTTGATTTTTAGAATTTCTACGCATTTAAAGCGATACAGTCCCAAGTCAAAGATGTTGCAACCGTTTGTTTTCAGACAATTAATTGACAATTAATTTTCAGACAAATTTTTGGGTAGTTTTTTGACGTTTCCTCACCACTTATTTAAGATACATGAATCAAATTTTGACACATGGCTGGTGGAACTGTTTAAAAAATATATCCGGTAATCAAAAATAATCTGATTGATTGAATACTCTGAAAAATTTTCATTTAAAGACCATGCTTAAGCATGAATTTGCCAGTCAATCATAAGTAGTTGGGAAAGTATGCTGGTTTTGGAAAAACTAGTTAATGCAAGTTGTCTTTTGTTGCGAGTTGTGGCATTACGGATTGGACAATACGAGGTGTTGAATATTATTAGCTCCTTCAACAACAGATTTGAACCCATATATTCAAACTCCCATATATTCAAAATAACTTCAATGCCCATGTGCCACAGTTTCACTCACAGTTTCCTAAAAAGGCTAATAAGTATGACTTTTCCCTACATTGAGTAAAGAAAAACAAATTAAATGTTTGAAAATAACTCTGTCTCAAATCATCAGCTTCTAAAAAAAACATTTTTGAATGCAGGCTATGTGCCAGTATTTTAAACCGTATATTAACTACGTGCAGAAACAACGACAAAAGTGAAAGAATTTTTTGTTCGCTTGCTTCAAACGAAAATTTGTTATTACTTTACCCCGTGTCCGTACAAAAGATATTCTTCTTCTGTGGAAGAAATTTAGAAAGTAAGCAAAAGGATTTTAAAATTCAAAAGCTATCAGAGTCAAGTCAATTCTGAAATAATTTAATTTGATTCATTTCACTTTACAGGTACATACGAGATAACATCGATCCTGAAGTTGAGAAAACAGACGTTGAGCTGAAACCAATGGAGGAAATACGGATAGTGTGGAAAGCTGAAGCTAGAAAAATATCTGACAATTTCAAGTTGGATGAAAGTTGGATAACCAACACCCATCTACCCTCACTTGTGAAATTTTCCTTTGTCTGTTCAAATTCAGAATCCTGTAAGAAACTCGAAGAATCAATGAAAACATCGCCGCACATGTTTGACTCGCTGGAGTTGCAGTATGTAATAAATGGTCAAAAGATATCGCGAAGAACTCTGAAACTTCAGGGGTCCCACTTTGAGAACAGTAAAATGTGGACACAGTTGAAAAACATGAACACTGAAGGCCCCATTAGATACCTCAACTCGGAGGACTTGAAAAACGTGTCCACGGAAACCACGCAAAACATTGTAGCGTCTGTCATAACTGATAATGACTACGCCGACAGCGGGGAGGAATTGAAACTTCACGAAGTTATTGAAAATCTGTTGCGCAAAAATGAAAAAGAAACGACAGAATTTGATGACACTCAATGGTCGTCTGTTTTTTGGAACCCCGATTGGGCTCGTCCTGACAAGATAGCGAGTTATTTGAACAAAGTTTACTCCAAAGACGAAACTGATGACTCTATTTTCAGAGTGGACGATGCAGAGGATGACCAATCTCTGAAGTTTGAATTTGGGGAATTCAACTTTGGTTTTGATAACGACAATGGTAAAAACATAAAAACTGATGAGCTGAAAAAACACCTGGAAGAAAAGCACTCTCATGTTGAATGGAATGGTGAAGTGTTCACGGTCAAGCCAATCAAATTGTTCCGAATAAATTTATCCGAGATGAGTAGTAACACTACCTTCGCAACTGCAAACATTCAAGTCCGAAACATTGAAGCAATTCATTCAGTAAAAGTTTTGTTTGACAATAGCTTGCCCGAACAAAACGCAACAATTACTCCAACCCTTATCATGCAGAGGCTGACAGAAAGAATGGACCGATTTGAACAAGAATTAAATGCCAACTTTTCCCAGCTCGTCGCAAATCAACAAACCGAATTCTCCGATGTGATAGATGGCGTCGAAGAAGCTCAAGCCGATATGATCAAAACAATTGAGCAGCATGGATTGGAACTTAAAGCGAAGTTCGACGAGCAACTGAAGTACATGATTGACCCGAGCAAAGCGGCGAACGAAACCATCGCAAAAGTGAATGGATTAGATGTCAAAGTGAAGGGACTGGAGACCAAAATTGGGTGGACTACGAAATCTTTCTGTTTGATGAAAAATGGCAACTGCCCTTCTGGATTCTCGCAAAGAGACGTTCATGCTGTTGGACTTCGGAGTTGGGGTGGTTCTGGACAAGGGGCGAAAGATACCGGCGAAATTGGCAGCTCCTATCTCTATGGAACAAAAAACAGTGTAACAATGTACTTTGCAGTCTGCTGCAAGTAAGCACGAGAGAAGTTTCGAGAATAATCTCCTTCAGTAGACAGGAATCAGTAATCAAAATGTATCTGGAGCACAAATTTAAAATCACATCGTAACTAAACTTGAAATAATTCAGTTCAAATTTCAGTGATATATTATGATATATGGAAAACAATTCGAGCTTAGATGACAAAGTTTGGCAGTTTTAGTTGATTCGCAACCAAATGAAATTGAGAAAAATTATGATAACTGACTAGATTGATTTGATTAAATCTCAATTAATTTCTTATCAGCTTGCAGCTTGTTAATAGATTTTCATACTGAACGTTTTTTTCGACAAGTAAATAAACAATCTTGAGACTCCACAAACCAACGAGGCAAGAGTTTTACACATTTGGCGCATAAGTAGTAGAAGGGTGAGGGAGAGTGGGGGGGGGGGGGTGGTGGGAGACCCCCATGTATTAAGATAGGGAATAGAACATCCGGTCTCCCAGCTATGTATTAAGATTGGGTATAGAGTCTACAATGTATAAAGGTAGGGAATAGGTTTCCCATGTATTAAGATCGTAGGTTTCAGATGGTAAGTTTCAGAAAAGTTTTCGGCGCCCGAATTTCCCATGTATAGATTTCCCTATGTATAAGAATTTCATTGTAGGTAATTCAGAACTCATTAGGGAACAGATTTCCCTATGTATTAAGATAGGGAATAGGTTTCCTATGTATTAAGATGGTAAGGTTTCAGATGGTAAGATGGTAAAGTTTCAGATGGTAAGTTTCAAAAAAATTTTGGCAACCGAGTTTTTTGAGCTCGATTTTGCCGATACTTGCGTTTCTTAGCTAGCTTCTACGGTTTAGATGTTTTGGTAATTGTTTTATAGGTTTGATTCAACGAGAAAGCTATCTAAAAGCCATATTGAAACCTAACGAAACTTCGAGAAAAAAATCATGTTTTTTGAAGAAAAAAAATTATATTCGAAAGATGAAGTATATAAATCACTGCTTCGTATAATCATTTAACCACAAGTTTACAGTTACTTAATCATTACTGAGTTGAATGCTATTACACCATCAGTTATTTACAAGTTCAAAGGTTTTGCGTGTATTCCGTCGTCCTGAACTTGTCTTTTAGGGTAAAAGTAGCTCAATCCCTTCTTTGTTTGCTCGTATGTAGCAACCATATGATTAATGGTTCTAAATCCTCTGTTTGTTGAAGTCAAGTTGATTGCTTCGTCGAGTACTTTCCTGTATTTTTCCATAGGTCCATCACCGGATTCCTCTAGAATTCTTTTATTCAATCCTTTGCTGCTAAACTTCATTTTGTCTGATTTGTTGCCATAGCAACAATAAGTCTTGCTGCAAAAACATAGCATCTCCGTACACCTAAATTCTTTTTTGAACAGACCAGGCTCTCGTTTATCGTGCTTCTTGTGAACGCTACAACATGTTCGTGGAAAAAAGTTTGTTTTTGAATCTGCTCTGAATGAATCTCTGCAATCTTTTTCTCTCAATTTTTCCCAGTCACCTTTTTTTTCCGGACGAATACAATCATACAAATTTTCCTCAGCAAGAGCTAAATACAGCCCGTGTCCGTTTCTAATTCCTCGAACTTATTTACATCACAAAATTAGTCAAAAAAATTGTAGTAAAGCTCAAGCATTCTCAGCTTTGCATACTGCAGAATGAAAAATCCGACTATTATGGGTTCTTTGTGCTCAATTGTTGACTTTAGTAACTCAATCTCGTACAAGTCTTTCTGAACAGCGTTCAATCGTTTGAAGAGAGGTTCATTAATTGCTTTGTGTGTTTTCTTATCATTCAAATACTTTGTGATCGTATGTCTCGATCTGTCCATTATCTGGTAACCGTAGGATGAATTACCTAAAAGCTTCATAGCCTCTGCAACAACACCGGATAAAGGGTTCTCATCTCCTTCCCTTCTAGCATCAACAACCGACTGAACAAATTTGTTGAAGCATTTTCGAGGGAGATACTGTACAAAGCGGTAAACTTTTGTACACTGTAAGCCAAGTTCCATGTAGAAATTGAAAAGAGGAGTAATGATGGAACCATTTTCTAGTTTGAAACTAGATATTAGCATACGCTGGGGATGCTTCAGAAGATCATTTTCAATGGCATAATTTTGCATATATACCCCAATGTTATTTCTTCCAACATCAGTGTTTTTAAAAATTGGAGGAAAATTCGAAAATTTTGCTTTCAGTTCGTCTGGAACAACTAAGTTGCACTGAATATAGCCATAAAGAGGTAAAGAATCAGTAGAGAAAGGTCTTTTGTAGGGAAAGTTTGATCGGATATGATTCTTTATTTTTTCGTTCGTTTTGAAGTTTTGCCACCACTCACATTCCCACATCTCTTCGATTTTGTATCCTTTTTCGCGAATATTTTCACATCTTAAGTCATCCATCTCTCTCCTTTTGTTGCCTCTCTCAATATCTTCATCGCTAAGTGAGGGACGAGTCTCCTGGCAAGGACAAAAATGGTAATAGCATCTCAATGCTTCAAACACTGTTTTGCAGTGATTGCAATATCCATCAACATTGAAACAGCCAATTTTCTTTTGATTTCCAGATGTGTGGAAGCTCTCAATTCTACATTCTGGTCTGGTTTCTTGGTAGTAAGACATGACCATGTTCTCAAAATTGCGAGATCGGTTATGTCTAGCTTTGAATTTTTGCATGTCGGAATCAAACTCCCATCTTGTGTACAATCCTGTTGGCATGTTTTGACACATTGAATAGGGATAGAGCTGGCTTGCATCAATTCCAACAATTGATTTGCAGACATTTGATGAATCCCGGATAAAGGTTTCATTCACAACAGCTTTTCGAGTAAACACAATTGATGGTCCACCCGTTATATCCTCTCTAATTTTCTCGCACAAATCTCTATCACTTTCGCAAAAAGGGTAGAATTTTTCATTGGTTGATTTGTGAAGAAAAATATTTGCCAGATTTGGAAGAGTACATCCAAGTTTTAACATATCAATTTCTTTCTGATGATAAAACTGAACCATTTGTTGCATTGCTTCAAGGGTTGGAACAACATCTTTGATGTTGTACTACTGCAAAAATCTTTAAATGTAGTCATTCCATGTTTCTGCCAAATCTCCTGTAAATATTTGTAATTATCCCATCCAGATGCAGGTACTGACCTGATTTGAAGTTTCTTTAGTGCTTGCTGCTCATCAAGTCCACTTGACTTCAGGTAATCCTTAAAGTCTTTATCAAGAGGGTTGTTGTTTCTCAGTTTACTGAAAAAGGCTTCGTATGGAGGTAATTCTTCACTCTCGAGCTTGTCTGGACTGTCAAACCACTCATAAGGGAAAAACCCTTCCCTTTTGTCTCACTGGCTTTGTAAGCTTTAAGAAAAGAGTCTAGAGATGTTGCTCCACCCAAAAATTTCATGATATCGAGGAACTGTATATCTCCAAACTTGAAGGATATGATATCGTTAGCCTTTTTGATAACCATAGGTTCAGCTTCTTTATCATTGATTAAGTAGGGAATCAGATAGCTCTTGATCAAGTTCAGATCATATCTTCCACTGTTAAACCCAAATACAGGTAACGTGTTAATATACCTCTCCAGATTTTGTTTCAAATCAATCAGCTGATTTTTCTGCATTCTCAAAAACTGAGTTGACATATCAGTTTCCTCTGTATCTTCTATACATTCATCTTCGTATTCAAAGTTTTCAGTTGGAAGATTTCGACATCTTTCATTCAACTCTTGGAAAATTTTCGACATCCGCTCATTCACTACTCTTTCAACATCTTGAAATTTAGTTCTCATTTTGAGCTTACTTTTCTCAGCCAAAAGTTCGAGTTTGATTACAAAATCGATAATAAGCTTTTGCGGATCCTTGATATAAAGAAACATTGGTTCATCTATCAGGTTCGAGGATATTGATGCAGAAATTGGAACGTGTTTTCCAATCCAAGTTGTTGTTTGGGTAGCTTTCAGTTCATCTGATGGAACACATATCGACTCAAAATCGAAAATGGCTAGGTTGTTGAATAGTGTGTTATCTTTCAAAACTGGGATATTGAAACCTTCCAACTTTTCAAATAGCGTTTCTCGAAGTGTATAAACATTCTTTGGATAAATGTGTCGCACTCTATCTTTACAAGACATAAGATGTCTGTTGAAGTTGTCTGATCTGTTGAAGAAACAGTCACAGCTAGGACATCGAAAACACTTGAAGAAGGAATCAATATCATTCGTGTGAATGATATGGTTGTTGAACCTTAGCAATTTCACGGTTTTTTCAAATTTTCCAATACTTCGCATCGCTAATTCTCTAACATATTCTCCTTCTTGAATGTCAAAATCGTAAATGAATATGTTTCGTTCAACTATTTCCTCTACAAGAGGTAAAACATCAATGGCAACTCCGAGAAAGTTCTTCGGATCGTATCCAAATTTTGATATAAACTCTGTAAATAGTTGAGATGTATGAGCATCGAGGTTACTATGACCAAGCAAATACATTGTTAACGCACGGAAAAGACAAAGATGCTCTTTGTATGGTTGTTTATCATTATCCGATAAAAGACAGTTTACTTGCGTATGTCGTAGTAAAGGTTCAGGCAACACAGAGTCTGGACATCCCATTGGAATGTTTTTCAGTAGTGCAGCAAAAATAGTAACATTTGTGATCAACTTGAATCTCCACTTTGTGTTCTGACGTTCTCGGGTGCATTGCTCAACGATATCAAACTTTTCAACTTTTCCCTGGATTGTAATCAAATCCGCTTTCGTACACAGTAAATGCGATTTTTCGAATAAAGTATTCTTTTTGTGTGCATAGTAAAACCAATATTCTCACGTTTCGACATTACGGAGAACAAATCCAAGAGCAATATTGATTTTTGCAGCGGAATCTAGCTTGTTGAAGACTTCTTCAAGCTTCTCGTTGATAATCTTGGTATCTAACTTTGACATTTGAAAGTTTGAAACCTTATGCCTCCCATTCTCCATCTCAGTGTCCACCAAGAAATGCTGACAAGCACTCAACTCCTCTTTGAGTTTCTCTCCATCTTCCCCTTCCTCCTCCACAATCTTGTTCAAGTCTGCCACCGTATCACTTGGTTTCCGTTGTTTCGTCCCATGTTCTTTTCTCCGATGTTGTTGGAGAGAGTAGTAACTCGGAAACTCCTGCTCACAAGACAAGCAAACTGTTGATTGCTTGGAAGTTTATTGAGCATGCTTTTTGGCCACGTGATAATTCATTTCCTGTTGATTGTAAGTGAAATACCTACAATCAGGACAAGAAATAAATCCTTTAGCACATCTTTTTTGATGTCGAGCCGCATGTTGACGAACATACATGTTTCCACAATCCCCACACTGCACTTTCTCGTTTCTATTCAGCGACGGCATCTAAAAATGGGAGAATTTTTAGGTATTAAGGGAAAGCTGTTAGTACTTGGTACATATCAAATTGGGAGATTTAAAATGTTCCAAAACAATTTAGTAAAAATAACTTTTACTTACTTTGAATTGTTAAAAACATTTGAAATTTATTTCAAGTAGTTAATCAAAGTATAGAGCAGTTGCTTTTAACGTAAAAGAAAATCAGAATGAAATAAGATTTTTTTGCTTTTTATTAGAGAAAATCAACTAATCAGAATTGAGTATTTTTTTAGTAAAACTGTTTGTTGGAAATCAACCAATCAGAATTCAGCATTTTCTAAAAGTGAATTGTTTATTATTTTTGAAAAACCTTAGTCATTATTTGAAAAATGTCTATCAAAAAACATTTGAGCTTCCTCGAGTTACTTTATAAAAAAAGAAAAAAATTCCAATTGATTTTCGTTGACTCTTACTTTGACTCTTACTTTTTTCATAATTTTTTGGACGTCTTTATTGTACAAAATAGAGTTATCCGACTAAGTAAAGGTCTCTTCAGAGAAACTTATTCAATCAAAGAGTTTATTTTTGATTCACATATTGCGTATCAAAGTTTTAAACTTACGGCTGAATTACACCTCACAAGGAAAGAAATTTTGTTTATTCTCGAGAATTTGAAATTGATCAAAAAATCGTACGATAATATATCACAAACTCTTTTTATCCCCTATCCAAAACCCAAATTTGTAAAAACACCTCAGCAAATTCTTTATTCCTTCTTTTCTTTAAAGATTTTCAAAGTTCAAAATCCTGCTTGATTCGGTTTGGAATCAGATTTCCAGAAGTCTGCTTTGAAAAATTCGTCAACGTTGAGTTATCTTCCCAAATTTACATCAAAATTAAAGAACTTGAATATCAGCAATTTCTCATTGATTACATACAAAAAATTCAATTAATTTGATGAAAAAAGTTGCAGAGATGTTACTTTTATTAATTTTCTTTCTTTTGTTACTTATATCAGCAATATTTCTTTATTTTACTGCAAACAACTTTTGGTCATTTTTTTGCAATTGCTTTTGTGTATATTTTTATTTATTTGGAAGATTTAAGTCCTTAAAAGCATCTTCTGATTGGATACGACAACTAGAACAAAAATGATCAATTTTGTGATTGGAAACGACAATACCCAAAATGGAGCTTTGTTTCCGATTGGACACGATTTTTATCCAAGATTCCCATAAGGAAGCTGAAATCTGATTGGACACGACTACAATCCAAATAAGGAAAATCAATTCTGATTGGTTAAAACCACACACTCGAGTTGAAGGTACCCCTAACTCCTAACTAAAAATCATTTTATTTTCAACTTAACTACCGTCAAGTACCTGCTCTTTCAGCTCTAAATATCTTATTTTCAACTTATCTTCCGTCAACTACCCCTCTCTCAACTCTTTCTTATTTTACTCTTGTACTCAATTTTTTGCTCAAAATGATCTTCTCTGTGCAAAACAGCATTTTCATGTACTCTGTAGAATTTTCGCCTGATCTAGTACAAATTCAAGTGCGAGAAACAGTCTCTGGAGTTTTTCTGGCACGAATGGATATCCCAATCCAAGTCTGACACATGGTGGAAGTGATGCGAAGGGATTTCAGCGAACATCATATGATGCAAGTTCCCATAAGGAAAATCAATTCTGGTTGGTTAAAACCACACACTCGAGTTGAAGGTACCCCTAACTCCTAACTAAAAATCATTTTATTTTCAACTTAACTACCGTCAAATACCTGCTCTCTCAGCTCTAAATATCTTATTTTCAACTTATCTTCCGTCAACTACCCCTCTCTCAACTCTTTCTTATTTTACTGCAAATGATGGGGGAACAATGCAAATGATGGGGGAAGTTTCTGATCATGTGGGAATGAACTATCCCGAGATTCCGGACTCAAGATTTGTGGATCAACCAGTCGACGACTTCCTCTTTCCTTGGGAGGAGGAAGGATCAGTCGAAAACTCCATCACAATAGATGAAGATGAGGGATTCTGAGAAACAATGACGCCTCCAGTTCCACAACAACCACCAGCAATGGAACCTCGTCCAGCTCTGCGTTCTATAGAGAACCTCCAGAACTCTTCTGCTGCTCGACAGCTCTTTGATTAAATATTTTTGTAAATAAAGGTTGTTTGGTTTTGACTTCGTTTTCTGTAAATAATTTCTTCAATTTCACTTTAATTATGAGAATAGATGAGAGCTTCAAGGTAAACTATTGAAAAACAATTAGAACTTAGTTAAGTGCTCCGAACTCGCACACATGTTAAAAAATTTGATTAATTTTTGCCCAAAAATTTGGAAAAACACTAAAAAAACTGTACACAAGTAAAAAGATACCTAATCGATATTGCATCTTGTACACACTTTTAGCCTTTTGTAGAAAAAATTGAAACACTTTTCTCATTTTGTCGAAAAAAAGTAAAACACTTTTCGCATTTTGTCGAAAAAATTGAAAAACTTTACGCATTTTATCGAAAAAAGTAAAACACTTTTCGCATTTTGTCGAAAAAATTGAATCACTTTTCGCATTTTGTCGAAAAAAGTGAAACAATTTTCGCATTTGTAGTGAAAAATTGAAACACTTTTCGCATCTTGTTAAAAAAAGTAAAATACTTTTCGCATCTTCTCAAAAAAGTTGAAACACTTTTTGCATTATGTCAAAAAAATTGAAACATTTTTTACAACTTGTTAAAAAAATTGAAATGTTTTTTGCAACTTTTTGAAAATCAAAACAAATATTACATCTTTCTTACATGTTTGAAAATTTTTTGTGCAAAGGTTTTTGACAACGGTGATTTTTTTTTCGGTAATTAATGGTAATTTTGTAAACATATGAGAGAAAATAGATGGAATATCAGAAGTTTTTTATTGAAAAATTGACATGATCACTATTTACAAATCCATAACCATCAAAAAAACAGTCAATTATTTTTAACAAATCATGTTCATTTTTTGAGTTTTGTACTTTACGAACTCTTTCTAGAAAAGCTGAACCAATAGTTTGTGTGGAAGCTAGTTTCTGGTTAGAACATAAATAGTGACGTTTGAATTTTTTGCGTAACAGACTTTTCTTTGCAACACTTGTCATTTTTTCTGCTCCTTTCCATTTCAATATGTGATGAACAGCGCGGTCAAGTTGATTGAAAACTTCGCCAGTTGATGAAATAACATTCGAATAAACAGAGTGTAAAGACAATCGATAATTTGGTATGGGAAATGAAAATTACCCAATCGTTGTAAAATTTGATCGAAAGATGAAGCAATCAGAAGTATGTGGAACTTACAATTTTCCAAAGAACAGTAAGAATTGTGGGTAGAGACACAAAAATTATTGGTTACTATATATTTTTCGTGAAAATCACTGGAAACGGAAATAAATAGCGATTTTTGACAATACTCTGAATAAAAGCTGGGAAGAGCTTGACACATAGCTGCAGCCATCTGGAACAATGATTTTTGCTGAAAATTGTGGATTTATATAGGAACACTAACACCTACACAATTCCATATTTGGAAATTTCCCTCAAAAATTCCAATCATAATTCTATTTCCTTTTATGGTTCAGTGAATGACTCATATTGTTTACTTTCAATTTCGTTTAATCTCAAATTCATTTCTCTCATTTCTCTTCATCTGATCAGTCTGTTCATCAAAAATGTACTCAAGAAAAGACACAAGTCCCAATTACATTGAATTCTCAAAAAATCAATCAAGAATTGGGAGATTTGCTTGGTCCCAAAAATCCTACAAAAGGAAAATTTATTTTGAACCCTGCTTTCAACTATTCAAGAAAAATGAGTTGGGACAATTTGAAAAGTCTCAACAAGTCTATCTTAGTGAAAAAGAAGGTGAAGCAATCTCAGCAATTAGAAATACTGTTATTCACGATGCTGAAAACCTTGGACTCGTACCTATGTATGAAGCCAAACCTGGCAAAGAATCAACTATGGATCAGGAGCTGGAGATCTGTAATAGAGTATATGAAATAGCAACATACAACATGAGGAGGGTGTGTGTCACAATCAAGAAGTACAGTGTGAACAAGCCACCCTACATTCAGATTCGACTCTTTACTGCAAAAGAGAATGAAGCAATGAAACAAGTTGCCTATGTCAACTATACTTTGAACGAATTCAAAGAACTGTCCCGAGTTTTGGGAGACTTTTTGTTTAATGATAATTGTAAGCCTCATTAAAAATTTGTGATGTTTTGTATGTTAGTTAATTGAAAAATTGTTGGTTCAAAACTATCTTTTGTCACTGAAGTTCACATTTAGAGCTGGGATATCTGAGGAAAAGTCAGACAAAACATGAAAATTTAATCAAAATTGACATAAAGCTCTATCCAATCATCAAAAGATTTTCCACTTTTTGTTTAGGAAATTACGGAAAAATTTGTTTAAATAATGCTTTCATCAAAAGTTGAGTAAAAAGTTGTCTTATTTGAACAACATTACAAACAAAATGTATAGTTAGTTGTAACATTATCATTATTTTTCGAAAATCTGAATTTCATTAGTTGTTTTCAATTGCCTTAATTTGAGGTTTTGATTGGCTACATGAATTAATTTAAAAATAACCAGTCTCTAAATAAGGGAAATACACTTTATGTTGATTGCAAAATAAGTAAAAAATAGTTCAACAATCGAGTTTTTTCAAGTTTCTTTGTTAATATCAGTAAGAAATATGTTTCTATCAAAAGCGTTTTCAATGTCTGAAATGAACTTTTATCAGATTTTAAGGTTGAACTACTACAAAAAACAACAAGTGTTGTGGACAGATGACGTCGATGGAGATCGTATTAGTTTTAACTTGTATAGAAACACAGAAAGTTCAATAATTTTGTTAAAAAGATGGAGAGGAGATTTCAGAAAAAAAGAGTACTGCCAGATTTATCAACAATGTTTTTATTTAGAAAAACTAACTCAAATTGAGTGGTCGATCAGTAAAAAACAAAAGAATGGAAGATTCTGTGATACAAATATTGAAGATAAGGAACATCATTTCGATTACTGTTTTGAATTTGATACAAATGCAAAATCTAGAGTTGTCAGATTATCTTTTAATCGACTATCCATATTTAAAAAACTTCCGGTTGTTTTTATTACAATATACCAGAAAGAAAACAACAAAAAACTATATTTCGGTAATTTCTCTTTTCACTGGTTAGAAATAGAACAAATCGAAAAAATTTTGATTGAAATTTCAAAATTTGAATTCAGCATCGAAAAAACAATATAAACCAGACAATAAATCTCAATTATCTCTCTAAGGTATCAAATTTTGTATCTTAGTTATGTTAGAACAATTAAATTAGATTGATTGATTGGGAAGTTTCATAAACATAGTTTGGTTCTGATCTACAAAGTATTTTAAAATCTGTGAATACTTCATTCTGATTGGTTATTATCACAAAGACTACCTGTGAAGAAATCCTTGATATCTACAAACGATATCAAAACTGTTGAAAAACCCATGAGAAGTAGAAATCAGTTTCGATTGGTTGACATAAACTTTGGATAGTTTTTGAAAATATAAATAAATATAAATTTGATAATATAAATTTTTGAAAATTCCATGGTTAGATTGGATGATTTTCATTTCAGCTAGGCTAAATAGCGTATCTATTCTGAATTTCTTTCACCTCAAAAACAAGTGAACAAGAAATTTGCTGTTTTCATTCAATTTTACTCATTTTTTGAGTCTATTCAACTTTTCTTTTCTGAAAATTTGGGACATTCTAAATCTCCCATTTTTTTTCTTTTTCTTCCTATTGAGATGCCGTTACTTAATAGAAACAAAAAAAATGCATGTCTTGAATTTGGAAGAGAATACAAACCTAAAGATGCGTCAAGACATCGAAAGCACTGTGACGTTTTAAAGTGTTCCAATTGTAAATTTTATACATTTAGC